TTATATGCTTTTGTTGAATTAAAAGAAAAAAAATTGTATTCAAAGAGATACATGTGCGTGGATTAAAACTTCAGGTTCATACTGAAAAGCGAGTCCCTTGTCCCCCCAGCCTGCCCCTCACAGGCAGTCACTTTAATGCTTTCAGCTTTTTCGTTCTCTTGGTGGTTACCTTCATATCTCCATGTAAAAGGCGTACACTGCTGTTTCTTGATTTATGAACTCCATATATAGTGTGTGTGTGTGTGTGTGTTTTTCCTGTGATAGATGAGGATTTGGTTGAATTCTTATTCTTCCTGATGTATTTACTTCGTTCACTTAAATTCCTCCCTTGGTTATCTGTAACTTATAGTTAAACCTTTATTTCTTGTTCTTTAGCTCTAGGCAGTATCTCTTGTCCCCCTACTTTAGAAATGGTAGTATCCCTTCCCATCTTTCTGTATGGGGAAAACTAGTATGTTCAGGGGAATCCTGAGAGGAAGATGCGTTTCACCCCCACCCAGACTTAGACTGTCTTGGAAATTACAGGCATCAGGGATGGTGCAGAGCCAGTGTGAGACAGGAATGTAGCCTGATAGTTTATAAAAGGAACGGTCCTCCCCCTTCCTGGTGCATATGACATTTGTGCTCAGATGCTGTCTGCCCAGGCAAAAGACTAGACGCTGAATTTCTGAAGAAACAATGACCCTGGAAAAAAGACCTGGATATACTGACATCAGGGTTCATTTAAGGAAAAGACTTGCTGCCCAGTGAATCACCCACAGTTGAAGTGTTCCAGTAAGTAAGCCTCAGCCATGTGCACAACGTTCCTGATTTAGTGCTGAGCTGTTAAAAAGAGATACCAAAAAAAAAAAAAAGCCACCCAAAATTTGGAGAGGTATGTGTGTGGAGGGGAGGGGAATAGATAAAAAAGGCTGGCAAAATACTGATGACTATTGAAGCTGGGCGACAGGTACATGGGGAACTCATTATACTATTCCTTCTTTTGTGTGTAATTAAAAATTACACTAATAAAAAGTTTAAAAAAAATTTTGTTAACGCAGCCAACCAAGGATCTCTAGATAAATGAGGAAAGCCTCCAATTTGAAAATTAAAAATAAGAAAAAAAATCAGAAAAATATCTAATAAGAGTAAAACTTTATTAACACCAACTACTCTGAGATATGAGACAATATTTTATTCATAATACAGAACAAGATGTCAAGAAAAAAGAACTATCAGAGAATAGAAATTAAAACTGGAAATTAAAACTATGATCACCAAAAGTTAAAAATTAATAAAAGATTTAAAGAGGAGCAATTTCCCAGAAAGTAGGACAAAGAGATAAAGAACAATAAATGTAAGAGAAATGTAGAGGAGCAATCCATCTAAATTCTTAATAGGGGTTCCAAAAAAGAACAGAGAAAAAGAGGATATAAAAGATATAATCTAAGAAAAATGTCAGACTATAGAACACTGATGTCCACATTTTAAAAGTGAATGAAAAATGTCCACACTGTGGCACATCATCCTGAAATTTCAGATGATCAGGAATAGAGAAGATTTTAAATGTTCCAGAAATAAAATCAAATCTTGTACAAATGATGAGGAGTTAGAAAAGCACCAAGCTATTGCACCATTATTGGATGCAAAAAATGGGGCAGTGCTTTCAAAATTCGCAGGGAAATTGATTTCCAACCTGGAAGTCAGTAGCCAACCAAAGTATCAATCAAGTATAAAGACAACATAAAGGTATTTTTAGACATATAGTTATACAATCAAAAGCCCATACCTGCCCTGCAGGAAATAGAACAACTAAAATAGCCTCTTCTGGTGGCATGAAATAAAAAGTTGGGGAGGAAGGATTAAAAGAACAACCTTTGAATCATTTTTGGAGTGAATCAAACAAGCTAACTTAAAAAACAAAAACAAAAACAAAACACTACCCTTTTTGGAGACAGTTTAGAATTTGAATATAAAATGAGGCGAAACCTAGGGGTTTTTCTTAATTTATTTTTAACGTATAATAATGGCATTATGGTTATATAAGAAGATGTCCATGTTTTGAGAGATATGTGGCAAAGTATTCAGATGTCTGGAATATGCTTTAAAATGTTTGAGCAAAAAAAGGCAGATAGGTTAAATAGGCATGGCAATATCTGGATAATAGTTGAATCTGGATGATGGGTACATGGAGGTTCATTGTACTATTTTCTATTTTTAGGAACGTTTGAAATTTTTCCTCATTAAATAAAAAAAATTTATCGTTGGCCACTAGTTTAGCAGCTTCTAAAATGCTGACTTGGGAAGCTAAACGTAGATATCTGGCTTACTTTCACAGAGTGGAACACTGTAGCCATTAAAAAGTATGAGGCAGATCTGCATAGACTGAAGTAGATTAATTTTCAACTTACGTTATTTCACACATAAAAGCTAGGTTCCGAATGCTGTGTATTCGCTACCTGCTGTGTTAATGGAAGTTGGGGTAGGGAGGCAGATTCTTTCTGCAATTGTCCTTTATTAACAGCTTTACTCTCAATGGATGGATCATTCACCACAGCATACAAATACGTTAGAGGATATCCTGTCCGTAAAAAACAAAACAGCTCCCTTGGCCCATACCCGCCTCCAACTCCCCTGTCTGGGATAGCAGTACTCTTCAGAGACGTTATCTGCACTGTCTTTATGTTCTTCCACTCTCTCGAACCCACTCCAGTCAGTCTTGTGTCCTCATTATGCCACTAGAACAGCTCTTTCCAAGTTCACCAGGGACTTCCACATCACTAAATTCAGGCTCAACTCAGTCTTTCTATTTGACCTTTGGGGAGCGTTTAGAGTAGTTTATCTCTGCCACATTCTTGAAACTGTTTATCTTGACTTGTGGGACACCCCTCAAGACTTCTGTCACTGACTGTTCCTGCCTGGTCTCATCTTCCCCACTTTTCAACAAGCCCATGCACCAAGACTTCTCGTCAAGACCTCCTGTCCGCTCTCACTCCGTCGTGGATCTCGTCCTGTCTTAATAGCTTTAAACTCCTCTATATACCGATGATGCTCACATTTGCTACTCAGCCAAAACATGTCCCCAGAACTCCAAGTGTGTATTGATGTAGGTGTTTATTTGTATATACACAGAATATGAGATGTTTCCATTTGGAAGTCTGATAACTGTGCCCCCAACCAAATTCCTGATTTTACTCAAACCTGCCCCTCTCAAGGGCTTTCCCATTTCAATTCATGGCGTCTGTGACCTTCCAGTGCCAGCCAGAGACCTTTGGTGTCACTCTCGATTCCTTTTTTTTTTTTTTTCCTTCCCAAATTCCATATCCAGTCAGCAAACGCTGCCTGCTCCCCCTTCACAGTGTATCCCAAAGCTTTTACCTCTTGAAGCTTCTTACGTGATCTGGGCCCTCTCTCCGCCCGCCGCTCTCTGCACCTGCCACTCCCCCGCCTCACGCTACTATAGACACGCCTGCCTCCTGCTGACACTCAGACAGCAAGCGTGCTCCCACCTGGGGGCCCATGTGCTGAGACATGGTCCTACAGATAACCACATGGCTCGTTCTCTCATGCTTTTAGGTCTCTG